CGCCGCGGTTCGACCTGAGCGGAGAGTATTTCGTCTTCTACTCTCACGGCCTCGACGCTCCGGCCTGGAGCTTCTGGCTTGAGATCCAGGTGAGTTTGACAGGTGTGTAACCAGAGGAGAGCCAAAGCGTCTGTGTCTGAGTCTGTGTGTGTTTCTGCTCTTTCAGCCGCACGAATCCTCAGACGTGCCTCCTGACGAGGGGCTGATCTCTCTGGCCGTCTCGTCTCATTACTTCTTCGGTCCGGACCGGCACTCGGAGCAGCTGGAGTCTTTGCTGAAGAGATTCCCGGCCTGGGCCTTTCCATCGTCCTGGGTCAGCACCTATCACATGTACAGATACTGAGGGACACGAGCAGACCCTCATCACTCACACACACACACACACACACACTCACACACACTCTCTCTCTCACACACACTCACCCTAACCCTAACACACACTCACTCTCACACACACACACACACACACTCACTCACTCACTCACACACTCAGTCACACTCCCTCACACACACACACTCGCACACACTCTCACACACACGCACTCACACACGCATACGCGCTCACACACACACACACTCACACGCACACACAACAGTTATTTTAAATTGAAATAATATTTCACAATATTACTGTTCTTACTGTATTTTTCTTCAAATGAATGCAGCCTTGGTGAGTCATATTTAAAAAAAAAAAAAAAAATTATTTCTGATTCTTATGAATCTAATCCTGTTTTTTTATATATATATTTTTGATTAGTATAAATTAAAGGTAGTACACTACCATTATGTATGATGATGAATATAAATTATACATTTAAATTCTCAAAAATAATGACATAGCATTATTTATCATGCCATATCTTTTTATGTATAATTATTGTTATCTTACAAGTAATGAGAATTGTGAATAGGGTGTTTAATTATCATGAAAATAATGCAAAACCGTTCAGAATTTCAAGCTGTTTTTCTTGTTCCTGGTGTTTTATGCAACTTGATATTCAGATTGACTTCTGATCATTCAGTTACAGAAACATGGTATTACCGCAGTAAACGATGTCATCGATGTGCTCAAAATCCAAGTGCTTTTATTAATTCATTCATGTTTGAAGCGTTGGATGATTGTTTATGACTGTTTTATTTGTATGATAAAAACGGTGCAACTGTTCTTCTGGACTGAACTGGATTTGAAGCCTTAAAATGAGCTTTAACCATAATTCACATTATTACTACAGTAAAATCACAGTAAATCCGAGTGGCTCTCGTTTAAAATAAATACAAACACATGTTTATACAAACAAACACACACGGATAAATGCGTTTCTTTGTCCCAGATTTCAGATGAATGTGGAAATATGACTGTGATAATGAATGTTCAATTAATGCAATCTTACGTTTGTCCTTTTGTTTGGGATGAAAGTTCAATGAGCATGATTTATGAATGACAGGATGTTCTGTATTTTCCTTTAATAACTAGTGCTACATTTGCATGTTTGACTTGAGCAAACAAAAGCAATGACAGAAAATCCTGCATATCACTGCAAAATACAGCCGAATAATAACTGTAATCACGTGTAGTTAAATGATTTTTAAAAATGTTTGTTTTAATTTCTCAAACTGGTCATATTTGTTTTTTGACTCAAACGGTACGAAACTCATTTCTTGTCACACAGATGCTGTAGTTTTGATGTCCATGAATCGCTTGGGAAATTAAGTAATGTCTGTTAGATTGATTGAAGCGGTCCTGTTCTGATTCATGTTTATATCATTTGCTGCACTGAATTGTATTTCTGCTATGAATCAATTTTCTAAGAAAATCACTTTAGGTCTCCTGTCATTTGTTTGTCGTTTTCTTGTTCAGATTTAAGAATTTTTCAAAAAAATAATAAAAACTGAAAAACAGAAATATAATAAAATTAGATTTTTTTAAGACAAAAATGTGAAGCGGTCCTGTTCTGATTCATGTTTATATCATTTGCTGCACTGAATTGTATTTCTGCTATGAATCAATTTTCTAAGAAAATCACTTTAGGTCTCCTGTCATTTGTTTGTCGTTTTCTTGTTCAGATTTAAGAATTTTTCAAAAAAATAATAAAAACTGAAAAATTATAAAATTAGATTTTTTTAAGACAAAAATGTAAAAAATATATATATTTGTAAAAATTAATTTTTCTCTAAATATTTCTCAATTTATACATTACCAATTACAAGTTTGTATCTGTAAGAGTTTGTAATGTTTTTGAAGTCTTTGCTAATCAAGGCTGCATTTATTTGAAAAAAAGAAAACCGTAAAATCGTAAATATTATTCCAATGTAAAACAGCTGTTTTCTATGTGAATATCTGTTAAACTAATTTATTCCTGTGATTTTCAGCATCATTACTCCAGTCTTCAGTGTCACATGATCTTCAGAAATCATTCTAATATGCTGATTTGCTGCTCAAGAAACATTTCTGATTATTATCAATGTTGAAAACAGTCGTGCTGCACAATATTTTTGTGGAAACCGTGATGCATTTTATTTTTCAGGGCTCACAGAAAGTTCAAAAGAACAGCATTTATTTGAAATAGAAATATTTTGTAACATTAGAAATGTTATAAATTATAAAAATAAAACTCCCGCAGTAGTGTATTTAAAGACACTTGTATATAAATATATTTTCCCCAACACATCTGAAACGGATTAGGAAAAAAACAGCACACATGATGTTTAAAAAATAATTTATTGTTCTTTATGTACAGGAAATATAGAAAACGGAGTAGAAAAGTTATTGTCCAGGAAACTCTCTGTACACTGCATTGAGAAGAAACTCCAGGCTTTAAACTGTACAGATGAAGAACTCAAGAGTACCGAGTCACGCATGAAACCAGATCAAATCCTCAGTCCACATGAAATAACAGCATCAGTCCTGTGACGTCAGAGGGATTGTGGGTAATCTGTACCATGAACACGTCCGTGAATCTCACACACGGAAGCTCTTTGGTTTGTGAACAACATGATCATCAGAAATACTGCGACGAGAGGAGGAACCGCTTAAATCGGCCGAACCACATTTGATGGGGTTTTGGGCACTTGTCAGCTGGTTTGGGAGCCACTGAACCAGCTTAAACCAGATCAGGCCGGTCTAAGCCACTCGTTTGGGGGAAAATAAAACATTAAAATAAAGATGCATCTCATTAAAGCTGCTAAATACTCAGAGACGACTGTCAATAACGCATAAGAGCTACAAGAACTACAAGAAGAAGAAGAATACAAAGGCATTGATAAATGTAGATGATTTGGTCCGTTGTGAAGGCAGCGCTAACAAGACAAACACTGAACACATTAATACTGAACCTTGTTCACATATCATAAAACACACACGCGAGAGAAACTCAACCCCGCGTCCGTCTCTTTGTCCTGCCGCTCAAATAAATACACAGAAAACCTGCAACAACGCAATTTAGAGAACACAAAACAATCGCAATAATGCAGAAACTGCAAATGCAAAACTGCTTATCTGAGATTAATAATCAGAAATAGACATTATCATGGCTGTAACATAACACATGTGTTTATGTCTTCATGAAGATACAGGAGCGTCAAACGCTTGAAAAGCTCCCTCATCAGCTCATCGATGGGTTTACAGCTTAAAAACAAATAAAAGCTGTCGGTTTCGAAGCTACAACCCTGCAGCTGAAGAGCAAACATGATCCGGATCAGACTGGAGAAGATCAGGGCTGATCATTCACAATTAACATTAAAACATGAAGCCATCCTCTCACACACAAAACTAACCGAAACCAATTAAAACACGTGATCGATCGTTCTCATCTGCACTGCAAAAAAATCACTTTCTCAGCATTTTTGTCTTCTGCATTTCTGTTTTTGTGTTTTCCAGTACAAATATCGAAATATTCTTAAATCAAGAACGAAATGCCTGTATTTTGCTCATTTTGATGAGATATTAAGTCTTGTTTTCTGATTTAAAAAAATTAAGTAGGTTTAGGCTTAAAATAAGTGTACGTTTTAATTTGTAGAAAATTGAGAGAGAACATAAAAGTAAAAAATAAAAACAAAAACAAAACACAGTGATGGAAAAAGTTGATATTTTTTAATCTTGGCTGTAAAATAATGTTGACAAATAAATAATGTGTTTGTTTACTTTGTTAACAGCCTTTTTTAAGCCCTTATGAAGTCATGATTTTTATCAATAAAATTATCAAAATGAAGCAAGTTCATGGTTAAAACAGGAAAAAAAAAAAAAATATATATATATATATATATATATATATGATGAAAAATAGATAGTGATTAAAAATGGCATATTTAAGATTAATGACAAAAAAATCACCATCAATAATGAATTTTATCATCTTGCTTGTAAACTAATTTTGAAAAATAAATACTGCATGTGTTTGATTACGTGAACAGTCTGAAAAAAATGAAAAAATTATTCTTGCTTAAAACAGGAAAAAATATGCACCATATGGGTCAAAATATATATATATATATATATATATATATATATAATCTTGTTTTCCCTTATAATCTTTTTTTGACCACATTGGCAGATTTTTGCTCTTGTTTAAAAGAAAAAAAAAATCACTTAATTTTCTCAACTTATTATAAGAAAAAATTAGATCGCTCATTTATTTATTTATTTTTTTAGCAGAAAAGACATTGATTTATTTTCTTGCTTTAAGCATAAACTCACTTCATTTTGATTATTTTTATCAGAAAACAAGAGTTCAAATCAAGTGGTTTTGCCTCTCCAGTAAATGTATCTTGATTTCAGAAGGTTTGTTCGTACTGGAAAAGACAAAAACAAAATAAGACAAAAAAACGAAGAAATTGATGTTTTGCAGTGTGAAAGTGAAAAGAGCAAAACATGATGCTTTTGACCACAGGATGCTGAAAACACAGCAAAACACACACGACACTGCAGTCTGGACGAGCTGGAATAACACACACACACACACACACACACACACACACACACTGGTAACGCTGGTCCGAGCGCATCAGGAGAGGGTGCAGTCGTACGATCCCTCCTCCAGCGGCTCCTCCTCCTGCGGCGTGTCGTCCAGGGGCCGGGCGTTGGCTCCGGCGGGGCCGTCCAGAGGCAGCGGGTGAGCAGACGTCACGGCCCCGCGGGCGTCCTCGGCTTGAACATAAACGTGTTTGTTGCAACATTAAGAGTGCTGGAGCTAAATTTCTCAAACATTACACGTGCTTCCAGTTTACTAACATTCAGACAAAACAACAGAAAATTATTCAGCTTATGTGCAAATTATAATTGTTTTTATGTTCTAAGAAACCTTGACTGACATCATATAAACAACAAATAAATTTTAAAAAATTGTAAATAAAAATATTGTAAATATTTATAATGTGTATATAATATATATATA